TTATCAGTTATGAAAGAGCAGATCACGGGCTATCTTCCCATGCATTTATCTCCATTTCGACTTTTTTGACGAAAATTGACTTTTTTTGAGTGGGGGGGGGGGGGCCTTAACAATAGTAAAATATATGCTATAATTCTACATTGATTTATTGCACCTTCAATTTGGGTGTGTGTGTGTCGGTGTGTGGGTATGGTTAATAGAAGAACTACACCCACACACCACACGCACATCCACCCACACCCTCATACAATGATCTACTAATATGATGACATATTAGGTTCAAAGGTTTATTTTTATCCTGTCGCAAATTGGTATCTATAACAATTCAGTCAAAACATGCATGAAGAATTGAACTAACTGAATAAGTTTTCTCATAGTTCGATTGATCCTCACAACTAATACAACGAGATTTAAGTCGATTATTCACTTGCTGTCACATTTGTTCCGATTAAAAAGGAAAATAAATAAATGCAGAGCGTAGCATCTTTCTTTTCTATACACATTACATCAGATTACGTTCAAAAGAAAGTGGAACGGGTAAAAACGGTAGTAGTCATAGAATCTAAACTCAATCTTATCTTACATATAGTTCACTTTGAACACTACTCAGAAAATTTACAAATAGAATCGCTTTTATATTGCTGTTGTCTATTGATTATGTATGAAATAAATAATTCTTTTCCATGGATAGATCCCGAAAACAATAGTACTACTAATAATATATTCTGTACGGTTAACATGTATGTCACCACCATTCGTTTCTTTTTTAGAATAATATCTATCATCATGAAATCAGCAAATTTAACGTTGAATAGCATTATATACTTTCGAAAGAATCTATATCGATTAGAATAAAATCATATTTGATGGATTAACTTGTCTTGAGTCTTCATATCAAGATGAACCATATGAAAAATTTTTGACTCGAACAATTGTCGATATTAAATTTCACAAAGCACATTTGAAAAATCTCTTTGCGTTTCTTCTTGCAAGAAATTATTCACTGAAAGTTGGATTATGTACGTGAAACAAAGAGTTTTTCGAATTGGTTATAAAACAGAAAGAAAAATACTTTGTCTTTTATTTAATTTAAATTTAATCGCTACAAAAAAAATATCTACTGATATGAAGTTGCACGACTACAGTCACTTTTAGACAAACATAATTTTTGCTTTTTTTGTTTTTCATTATGTTAGAATTGCATGAATCAGTCAGTTTCATTTTGCAGTAGATTTAAAAAAAAATAAAATCCTATGATATGAGAAGAAATAAAAAAACATTTTAAAATTTTGTTTGTGTTTTTCATCGATCTCTCAAGGATATTTTATATTGTTGAGATTTAGAAATCTAATGAATAAAGATAAAAATAAAACTTCATCTTTTTTGCTCAAAAATGAAATAATATTCATGCATAATAGGGAAATGTTTTAGACATATAATCTCTTTTTGTTATTGAAATCCTATTTCTATGCATATTATCTTAGAAGACAATGTAATAATGTAATAATATTTCTTCCGTGTAAGTTAATCTATTTTCTAATAATTATTTATCGATATATGAATGAAAAGTAAATTTAATTTCAAAAAAAAATCTGAAAATAGTTAGAACTTGTTTCTTCTACCATATAAAATTTATTAATAAGATTAGTTATTCATAGAATATTTCTCGATGAATTTTATTTAAATAAATGATTTACATATGTCAAATACTCATGATCTTGAATGATTGTATAGTTACAAGTAAGCATATGAAAAATAAAAATATAAGCAATGTCGGAGTTTTTTCTTTTTATAAATAGATTCCATTATTATGAATGAAAACTAACAAACATATCACAAACAAAATAATCTACTTGTATGTAGTAATCTTCAATTATTATAAAACTATATTTACATTAAACGGATCGATTCAACTCATTTTTCGTATAAATGGTCCGCTTTCACATAGAAAGATAAAACCAATTGAGCCGAACAAGGTCATGAGTGTAAAAGAATGCAAAGCCTATATCAACATTCTTTTCATTGTTAATAAAAAGAAAAAAAAACTGAATCATTAATTTATTTATTTCAATAAAAATTTATTAATCAATTAATATTAATGTTGAAAATCATGTTTAATACCTTCTAATGCCATAAGAATAAGTTTTAGATTGATTATTGATTGATGTTGATGAACGAAAGATTTTTTTTTGGATATTGCTATTTTATTGTTACGCTTGGAAGCGCTTACATGGGGATAAGTTTAAAAGTTAACAGTACAGCATATAATAATCTGTAACAGCATATTTAGAAGTTCATATTCCTTACCACAGGCTATCATACTACTTTTTAAGCTGTTGTAGGAGGAGAGAAGAGGAAAAGAACAGAAGGAAAGAGAAAAAAAAAGAAAAGAGGCACAGGAAAAATAAAAAGAGAAAGGCACAGCGATGCACACATGGATATTTAATCAACAAACTCAATCCATTTAAGCAGTAGAGTCTCATGTCTATCTTTCAATTTTTTCACTCTTCTCATCCGAAAGAAGTGACCCATATCATCTCCTTTACTTTTGTTATAACTGTCCCAAAAGAATATATCATTGAAAAAGGGCGAACGTCCTAAATCACTCTTATTCATTTGCTTTAATCTGTTTTTAATGTATTTTTTAACATAGAAGTCAAGAGGATTTTCATTGATTATTGCAAATAGATTCTGTTTTGATACAAAAGGACATCGATGAACAAGTCTCATCCCTGCTCGAAATTTACATCGCAGGGTTTCTTGATGGGTTTTGGGTAGCATCGGAAAAAGAGGAAATAGCCAAGCGATATGTGGAAATGTATATGCAAAAAAAACAAGTTCGTAATACTGTTGTTGACAACGATTTTCCTGATCTTAACCATTTTAATTTACCAAGAGACCTCTGTATATTGTCGGTACATCTGTCAATTGTTGGGTGAACGAAAGATAATTCTATCATAACGTTAAAGTATATCATTATCAGATATAGCTATATATATCTGTGAAATGTGATTTGTTTTGTTTGTGCTATGCATCTTGTAAATGATTTCAACATGTCAATTAAGTTTTCAACTTATGAAACACGGACTAATTGAACGTGTGAATATTTGAATTCAATAATTGAATACCTGGAAGGACTTCAATAATTGAATTCAGATATTCAATTATTCAGTTATTCAATAATTGAATTCAAGTTTCAGGTTTGACATATATGTGATATTGTTCGAGTGATAGATGTTAGGATTTAAAATAATATTCATATGACGATAATGAAGTAGTCACCGGATAGAAAAAAAAGAAAAAAGAAGAAAGAAAAAGAAAAACTCGAGGAAGCAAAAAATAATAATAATATTAAAACAGCACATATCACAAATTGGGCAGATCATGTATATTAAAAGAACAATCTCCAAATGTCGTTCGTTCAAAATCAAGTATTGCTTCAACATCTAAATCAAATGTTGAATATGGTATTGGATTTTGTGAATTATTTGGTAATTCTAAATCTATTGATGATGATGATGGTGGTATTTGATTAAATAAAAGATTTGTTGATGGTGATGGTGATGTTAAAAGAATTTCTCGTCTTTCATTATGTGTTGTTTTTTGATTTATTCATTTGATGACGCATTATCGCTACGATTGTTCGACGAAATAATGAACTTGAACGATTCATTGTTTTTAATTGTTTACTTAAGTTTGATGATATCATTTGATCGATTTCATAATCACTATGAGATGTTGATAGAGATTGTGAACTAACTGATAGAGATTTTGCTAATGATGAATGTGCACTATCGGTTCCTCAAAAATAAAATAGATTATAAAAAAAAAGGAAATCAAATTAAATCAAAAACTTGTATTAAAATTATTGTCATTATTATTTGATATTGAAGGAAGAAATGATTTGAGCATATCATGTAATATATTTGCCATTTGCTGTGTTGATGATGATGTATACGATTGTTCGTGTGAATTATTTTGTAAAAGATTATATAAATTTTTATTCATATCTTTAACAGACGTATAAATGATCATTGATTTGATATTGTTGATGTTGAAAATAAATCATTTGATGATGATGGTATTTGTTCATTTGAAAATATACTGCGAACAATTCAGTTGCTAATAGTGACTATAGCAGAAGTGAAATGAGGAGGCATGCAACTTTGAACAGTTTTTAAAACTCTGTAAAATAGATCTTAGCTCAACATTCAAATAGATTTTGTAAAGATTTATATAGGTTCTAGTTAGTTCTGAGAGTAAATTCTATTTTTTATAAAATTAAAGAATTTTCGAAGTCGGTTGGGTTACTTCTCTTGCAGCTCTGACGCCATTCATAGACGATATTTATATAAAATACAATGTATGATACATACATGATCTAATGACTAACTATCATTTATTTTATTCCAAAAGCAAAAAAAACTTAAACTATATTTGTCACATTGAGATTGCAGCAAAGACAATATTTAACAAAATCACTATTAACAAAAAGACTGACTAAGAGTAAACTTTACAACAGAAAAAAAAAAAAATTTACAATTTAAATTCAGATTTTATATAGATTTTCATGCAGATCATTGATCTGCATATAAGAAAATGTAGATATACGTTAATTTATTTAAATTCCAAAATGTATTTTTCATTCTGAATATTTTTGAAAAATTTGTTTGATAACTCAAACAATAATTTGTTTCGTTTGATGATCGTGATATAAAAAGAACAAGACACGTTTGTATATGTGAATCAACTTAAAATCCAGATTGAATGATGACCAACATTCACACCGTTGATGATCATTCTACATAAAAATTAGAGAAACAATTAAAAATTTCAAATAAATGTTCTAATCAATTTTTGAAAACTTTGTCTGTGGATGAAAAAGACAATACCCTGGTTAGACAAATACTATCGATAATTAAATAATTTCAAAATGATTAATTCTCATAGATCTTGATGCATAATTGGTTTTGGATTTGTTACCGAATTTTGAAAGAGGATATTTTGACTTAAATTTCTATCACAGAAAACTTTCTTAATGCTTATATTATATCATAGGTTTTAGTAAACAGATTCTTGTGTGATCAATTCTTTTGAAGTTTTTCTAGTATTCAGAGTTTATTCAATAAGATAAACTTCACGCTAAAATTCTTTTTCTTTCATTGCAAAAATTCTGCTAGCACAAGCTGATACCAAACTATCTTCAACGGTTATAATTTTGAGATAACTGGAAGAAAAAATTTAATTAATGTTAACAATTACCTGTGTTGTTTTCCGTGCAAACCATTTATCCACAAAAAATTCATATGTACCAAAAATGAGCACAAATGACAGTATTAAGAATAGCAATAATGCCAAAAAACCAAAGAAAATTGAGCAAATACCAAATAGAACATCCCAATAATTGTTTCTACTTGTTAAACCATCTTTCTATATAAGGAACAGGATAAAAATACAAATTGTTATTGACATAATCTCAAAATAATTTTGACAACTATTTTCATGTGAATTATGTAAATTTCTTCGTTCTTTTTATTGCTTTTTGTCCTTATTATTATTTATTTATTCATATAACCTTAATGGTCCTAAAAGGATAGTTATTGAATAACAAGTGTATCCATTAGAGAGATATATGGGATGAAAAATTTCGTTCGTTAACGATGTCAATTCGAAAAATTAAAATGACTTTATATCTGGATAAGAATCTTTCTTAGAGCTAGTTCGTATATGAGTTACGTACGGTAAGGTGTTCTAGAAACTCTGAAAAAATCCAGTCCTAGAAGCCTTTGTTTTGTAAAGGACACCAGGCTAAATAATCCCACAACAGAGGTTTTTTCTTCAACATGCCTAGGCTTTTTGAAAAAATTGAGTTTATTTATTGTTAGCAACGTGACTGAGTACGAATACAAAAGCTAAAGATACTCTTGTCATTGAATGATAAATCCAAAAGTCAATTCTAAATAATACAAATCCTTCTTGAAACTCTTGACCTTATTGCAAAACAAAAATCTCGTTCTGAAACATGCGAAATCCTCTAAAAACCTGATTTTTTGGAAGAAATTTTTCGGAGACCCATCTTGCTGACGTAAAAATGACGATTTTAAGGTAGAAGAATGCTTAGACAGTCGACTGTTTTTGCACGTGTTGCAAAAAGCCGTAAGTGTCTTTTTGTCTAAGTAGTGTCTTGCAAAATCTACAAATTGTTTCGGTATAAGTATCATAACATGCAGAAGTATAATCATATGCATTATATCTTTTTCTTTCACAATATGCATAAAGTACTTTTGATACTACAAATGTTTCTTTGAAAACAATTATAATTCTTTTTTCTTACCACAAATTCGATGCCGTATTTAATAAGAAAACAGGCCGATAAAGCACAGTTGATAATCACCAAGATAAACAATGAAATTGAGTGATTAGGTCCTAGTATGTATTGTTTTTCATTCTTGCTTTTATTTTCCTTCGAATGAAAAAAAAAAGATTATAATTGAGGGCAAAGTTACGAACAACATTTATATTTTCATTAGTTTATAAGATTTCATAATTTACGTCATTGCAATCAATCTATTACGAATTATATGAAAAAAGTTATTCTGTAAGTTAGAAAGCAGACACCATACTATTCGCCCACTTAATGAAACATTATTTAAAGGAATATTAGAATATACGACGAGGAATTTAGATCAATTTGATTCCTTCCGTGCCTTTCGAGGTACCTTAGTAAGCGGTTCTTAATAGAATTCTAAAGCGAGAAAGTTTGACTTTCTGTCCTTTTTTAACCTATTCTTCTTAATATAAGATGTTTTTCACAATTTATGGAATGAACGAAGAAAGTGAAATGTGTATCTTTCGTTATTATTTCAGGCCCACAATAACATATTACAATTAATATTTTCTTTCATTATACACATATATCAGCAACACGTAGTAACAAACAAAACTTGAGATATATTGCTAAATTCTTCATTTTGCAGTCTAAACAGCTCTATCATGTTTCACACGTCAATCTCACAGAAGTTACACTAACATAATTTCTTTTATCAAGCTATAAATAGAACAAAGTTTTTAATTCACTTACAGTTGTATCATGATCAACTTGAGCAATCAACATTTGATGATTAATAATTAATTGGAATATCTAAAAAATAAAAATAATAAAACAAAGTAATCCAACGAATTTTTGTTTATTTAATTCGCAACAATTCTAAAGATTTAAATTAAAAAATTTCATAAAAAAGGTAGATCATAAATTTCATTCGCTAAATATATATTAATAATGAATCAAAATTTCAAATCACTTGTACATAGTTTTATATTTTACTAATAGGAACGAAGGTTGATAGTTTCGCCTTCTTTTAATGAAAAATTTGAGGTTTTTAGAATTTTATTTTACTGCATGTTGGAAGAAAAAGTCTACTTAGTATATGATAAACAAGACAATCATGGATAAGCTTTAGACAAAATTATTTCAGTTGTATCTTGTCGAAAATATATGGAAAGTTTTGGAATGATTTGAATGTCAATTTGAAATTGATCGAATTTTAATCATACTTTGTTAATCTGAAGCAAGAAATAATATAGAATCAGAAAACTATTTATTCTTTCCAGCTAATATTTTTCTGGGAAAATAATTATACAAATGAGAAAACCTTCAGCTAAAAACAGATTTTTCATGAATGATATATCTAACTAAAAGAATTGTATAAATCGACATATTGTAGAACTATATTATTTAGTTACATATTACGATCTTATAAGAACAATGTTAATTTCTTCTACAAAATATATAACATTTATGGTAATACTACTACTATTGGAAATGCATCATAAACATAATAAGTATTTTATATTGCATGATATAATCCATATTCGAAATGGTAATACTCAACATGAGTAGTTGTTTTTTTTTTGAAGAAATAAAAAAGACATAACAACATACTCACAAGCCATCAGGGTTTGCAATGGAAATCTAAAACAAAATGTATCCGTACATTTTACTTACATAACTAAAGTGTATCCGTACACTTTATTTTCATCAGCAAAGTGTATCAAAGTGTACGGATACGGAAGTCAATTTTTTTTCAAATATAAAATGTAAATTGAAATATTCGGATCATTTATAACCGAGAAATGTAAGTACATAATCATCCAAAAATAACGAGTACCCATCCTATTTCATTATCTACCATTTTACAAAAAAATAAGCAAAGAAAAACTCGAGTTTATAGAAAAAAACATAAACTAGTTTTGTATTGCTTAGAGTCGCATCATTATCAGAGTTCGAGAAAAAAAGAAGGCATATCTAATTAATGATAAGACCGATCGAAAGATATCACAATTTACTATAGCCTTTCCATTCTATTTGCTTTAAAACTTCTTAGCATTTTTAATGCATTAATATGAAAGTGTAAATTTATTCTGTACAGTGTACGACGAACACTTTATTTTTCCAACCAAAGTGTAAAACAGAGTGTACATAAAAGCAGCAGATGTTCTGTACATTTTGTTTCTGCTTGGTACACCTGCTATTGCAAACCCTGCAAGCCATAGAAAGAGAGAAAAAAGTATAGGGCAAAAGATATATCTAATAAAAGAAAAGGAAGAGAATGCTAAATAGAGGGCGTTGTATGCTGTTCACTGATATGTGTTGGATCCAGAAAAAAGGTAATAAAAATGAAATCATAAAATAAATTTAAGTAGAACGAAAAACTTTACACAGAGCTATCATCAGATCTCATTTCTCAACATAAATCACTAATAAAGTTGAATTCGGAAAAGTTCGAAATTGTTGCTTTTGCAAACTCATTGATTACAATTGAAATACGTCAATTTTAATCCTTACTTTTTCATGATGTATGAAAAATCTAAAATATATAGCTCAGATTGTTTAGACATATCTGAATCTAAACATTTCACTTTTGAAAATATTGCTTTTTTTTGACAAAAAGAATTAATTTCTATGTAGAAAAACCTATTTCCATTTATTTTTATTAGAGAATGAAAAACTTCAATAAAAAATTTCTATAAATGAGCACGAGTTTTATTAATCATTTATAAATTATAGTGAATAGATTAAGAGTTTTCTTGTAATAGTCCGTTTATTTTTATTGAAAAACTACTAAGAACTTTGGATTCATCGATAATTGTCTGATCGACATATCAATATATGACAGCTGGCATCGAATTAGAGAGGCAAACACGGATTGTGTAATTAAAATGTGCTTTCATTTTATTTTTGAATAGAATAATGAAACTCTCATCAGATGTCATGTTGAAATATTATTCGATTATCAATAAATAAAATGAATAAATATTCTATTTTTCCTAGAGCAAAATTGAATATTATAATCATGCACAGGATCTGAAATAATAAGTCCTCGTTTCTTATAAATTATTTCGAAATGATATATGATGAGCAACTATCTCAGATTTCCTGTGACAAGAGTCAGCCCATAATGGACAGCGCATATATAGGAATAAGAAAAATTCTGAGCTATAAGATGTCTAGAAAAGTCATTAGTAAAAGAGAACATGGAATATATCCGCCATAAAATTAACTTAATGGGCTGCTTCTTTATCACCAGTAAAGGAATGTTCAGAGCTCATAAACATAAGAAAAGCATAGATAAAAAACTGTTTTGAAGCATTAGAACTGACTTCAACAAAGAACTATAAATTTTACGGTAGTGGCGTAACCAGGATTCGTCGGGTGATGGGGCGGCGTCCTAAGGATTTGTCAAAAGGTTATTTTTTGTGATGCATAACGTTTCTTTTTCACAGAACAAGGATGAAACAGTGTATTTAACTTTGAAAATAGTTATTAAAAATTATGCTACGTTTGTTTATTTAAAAGAATTAAAAATTACAAGGTTTTACTTGAATAGAACTCCGCTATTTTTATGCAAATCAGCAAAATTACCCATAAGGTTTTCGAAATTAGTGCTAAAATCGCGTTCCACCACTAGGGCACATAAATTATTCAACCTAGTATCCGACGTTGTATTATACATATGTAGTTGTTTCTATCAGTTTCATCTTACTAAAGAGGGAATATCGCGAAGTGATAAATCGCTTTTGAAGTGAGACTTCGCTCATTATTTAGGTCCCATTGATACTAGAAAACTATAGAATGATTCGTGCCCATGGGTCTTCTATCTTGAGTTCGAGCCGTTTTACTGTGCTTTTAACCAGTCATAGAGCACTCGAGATGAAATCGAAAAATGATATTTTCATCCAGATTTTTGCCCATAAATAAGTCTAATGCTGACCAAAAGGTGCAAAAAGTTTCATTGGAAACAAATGTTTCGTTGCCAAAATAATAGGCCTTTCGGAAAATCTAATGTTTTTCTGCTCTTCAATGAAACCCATGCTTTTTAAAGTGGTCCCATTATCTTGGAAATACAATGTTCGTTGCCAATGAAATTTTTAATGCATTGTACTCAGCGTCAGACCGTTCTATAGGCAGAAATTCAGGTCAAAATGCTATATTTCAACTTTGCCTTCAGTGCTTTACAACAGATCAAAAAAAAGTAAAACAGCTCTAATTCAAGATGGAATACCCATGGATAGGAATTATTCTAAGATTTTTCTAGTCTCAATAAGACCAAAATAATGAGCGAAGTCTAATTTCGAAAGCAATTTATCACTTCGCGAGGTTCCCTCATTAGTGTTTTTTCGCAGCTGATAGACAAAACAGGTATAATCATGACATGAACGAGAAGAAATATTATCGTCGGAAATGTCAGTTTCAGTGGCAATAATTTAACATAGAGACCAACAATAGCTTTTAATTCTGAATCTTTCAACATGGGCTTGAGAGCTTGAATTTCATTACATAATGAGAACAAATCAGTTTTCATCTGTACTGCGAAAGGTTTTAATGCTAAACTTTCCAAAAAAATTGTTGATGTCGAGACAAAGAAATGATATTCCATTCAAGATTGGCATATTTTCAAAAGAAAAACTAACATTCAGTTTTATCAATATAGAGTCAATTAAGGGATAATAAAGATTTGTTCGATATTAATCTTCAGTATTCAAATTATTACTTTGACCGACGCTAATAGTAATAAAAACATTTTAAAATCTGGATGATAATGTTCTAATTCTTCGTACTCTTGGTGTTGACAAGAGTTCAATACGATGTTCTTCACAAAAAACTTCTAATTCATAGCAGATATTCGAAAATGTTTGTTCATTACGAACAGTATCTACTAGACTAATAGCTGATTTTATTAAAAATTGAGTTTTAGAAAACGGATGGATTTAGTTGCAACAAACAGAAAGAAACATTAATAAATTAACAGGTTCTAGAAGTTTCAAAGGATATTGTACTAAATAAGATTTTTACCTTATTTGGTTTGTCTATCATTATAGAAAAGTCACTTTGTTTAAAAATAACCGGTGGTTGGACGCCGCCCAACCATGCCATATCCTGGTTACACCACTATTTCACGAGTTATTACAAAACGATATTGAAGGTTTTTCAATACATTCATTTTGTTTAAGGCTGAAACTTTCAGCATAAAACGAGTAACATCACACGTCTCTGTACTTTAGATATGAAGTGAGATGATATTACAGTAGAGAGTAATCGGAAAATTCAGCGTGTCGTTTATTTTCGGCTCAAATATATATTATTTCTCTTTAACCCGTAAAAGAGTATAATTCTCGGTCGAAGTCAATTGTAATATTTCAAAGCAGTTTTTGTCAATGCTCCTACTATGATTATGACCTATGAGTATTTGTCTATTGATAGTAAAATTATTGGCTCATTAGGTCTATATTTGGAATGATATTCAATGTTTTCCTTGGCTAGTGACCCTTTGGACACCTTATATAATATATTATTTAAAAAAAACGTCTATTCTTTTTTCCTTGCTTAAATCTTAATAGTTACTGTGTTCCTATGTTTAACTGCGTTCCAGAATATTTTGAAAAATCTTAAAAAGAGAAATATCTTTGAACTTAGAAAAAAATACTACTTGAAAATTATGCGTACCAGATCTGAGATTTTTCACTACTAAAAGCTGTTCGATTTTTCTTTTGATTTCCTTTCATAGCTGGAAAATTTCTCTCGATTGTCTAATATATGAAAGATAATTGTGTATCATTCTTTCTTTAGACAAAGTTTTTTCATATGTTTGAAATACTAGGACCTCATGATGCATCCACATAAAATGACTTTCTTATTCGAGAAGCTCAAGAGGATTAGGCATACAAAAGAAATATTTTGCTTATAAGCATGATTTCCAGTATATATAATTTACTTAAAGTTCATCGCATAAGTCAATAAAGCGAAATTCATATTATCCTATATATGTGACAGCTGTGCAATGACGGATCTAGTGGAGGAACAAGGGTGCGGCTGTTCCTCCATTTGGGATTGATTTCACGTTTTCTTTTTCTTGTAATTTGCCTTGGAAATTTTGCATTTTTGTCTTACCCGCACTCTTTTTCACTTGTCCACACCCCTTTCACTTATGTTCCTCCCTTGAGACATTTCTGGATCCACCACTGTAACTGTGCCAATGTTATTGAAACATATTTTGTTGTTTGCATTTATGAATAAATAACGTTGATAGAAATCTTTTTAATCAGCATCAACTGGCAAATATGCATAAGAATGTCTGGTAGTGATTCTATTGGCAAAATTCTGATTATTTCTACTGTTACGACTATTTCAAAATAAAAAAGATTAGCTTTAATATTGTTACCATCAAGCTGAATATTTCTCAGTCATAATTTTGATGCATCCACAGAAAAATAAAACCTTTATTAAATGTTCGATGAATCAAATTTATTTATGTAGAAACATGATCATGATTAATATAAAAAGATAGTAAAATTACAAGAACTAATTTTAATGTTTATAGATAATATATAATAAATATTATAACTTATAATCATAATAAACACGTTAATTCCTATTTTTAAGTATTGAAAAAATTATGTCACTCAGTAAAGCACATTATGAAAATATAAAGCGTCCTCTATTAGATTACATAATTATACTTGTAATAGAGGGTTATTTTTTGAATAACCAGTAGTTTTGTCTTGATACATTTTATTTTATTTTTGCCTTTATTTTAAACGTATGGTTTGTTCTCAATGAACAAGTCGTCTATCAAAAATAAAAGGAATCATTTGATTATATTTTAGAACGAAGATGTCATCGGATCGAGTTCGCATCACTATTTATGAATGCTTTAGTACCATACATCATCGAGTAGTCAAAGAAACAGAAATAACAAAATCGAAATCGATATTGATTGAAACATCTGCAAAGGTACTTGAATTAGTAAGTGTTAAGCAGCTTGATCATTGTATAAAAATTGTTTTCATGTATTTTTGTATTCTATAGATCGTTGGGGTTATATTGATTGTATTAGAACTTTATCTTTCAATAAAATATATGATACAATTAAAAAAATATATTTTTGTCAATGAAAAATTATTTAAGACCTTTATTGAAACTTTAATTCGTTTATCATCGTTGATTACTATTTTAATATTTTATTTACTTCGTGTAATTGTATATGTGATATTGATGTTCTGTAAGGATGATGGAAATTTACGACAATCCTTGCAGAAGGTAATGATAATTAATTTTAAATATTTAAAATATTATTTTGATATTTTTTTCAGAAAAACGCTGCTCGGATGTGTTTTTTTTTATATTCTCATTATGTCTGCGTGTGGTCTGTATATTCATGATTCGGCTATTGATATACCTGAATATTTCGTTTTAAAGAAAATTTATGTAAGTCTTCAGTATCTATATCTATATATATTTATCTATTGTATATCGTTGTACTTGTAGATCGCAGAATTTATTCTATGTCTTATTGCAACTCCTTTAAATTATTATATAACATTATATAAAATAAAAGAAGAAGAACCAGTCAAAGAAGAAGGAGAACAGCGTCCAGATAAAATTGAAGTTTTACCTCTTTGTCAATCAGGAGATATAACGGGACAAGAAAGTTTGTTTTTTTATCTTTATTGAGTTGTATAAAAAATTTTATTTTAGTAAGAGTAACACGGCAAGTATTAAAACTTCGGCCATATATACTCAGTTGCATCGTCAAATATATTGATTTTGCAATGAATGGAAATTTGAAGAAATATACAGATCTTCAAGTAAGTTTCATTCGATTTTGTTAAATATCAAAATTCATATTTAAAGGAATCTTTTTTTCAGAATGAAGTTAATGATCGAATTTGCAAACAACAAGTTTTAGCGAAAATTAGTACACATGATTTATCATTTATATCAGGAAATTTGGTTTATGATGCTCGTCAACCTGAAGAAATAGGTCTTGTTCCACTTGATGAAGGTTCAAAAATAGTTTCAGCACGAAATTTTTATAATGATTTGTGTGAGAAAGCTGAACGTGAAAGAAGATCAAATAGAAAAAATAAATCTTCAAATTATCACAAGTCTGTTTTGATTTTTTTAATAAAATAATTTTTTTTCTTTTTTTAAATAGACATTTAACATTAACAGTAGTACCAGATCAACAAAAGTTTCCTTATTTATGTGATCAAAATCATCGTGTTATATCACTTCCACCATTAACTGATGGTGAACCATTTAAAGTAAAAGACCAAAAACAAAACTTTTTATTTAATTAAAAAGAAATTTATTCATTTCAGTTAACTCCATCAACCGAATCTATTTTAATTCAAGCAACATCTGAATATTCTATTGAATATTGTCGTTGTGCGATTGATTTTCTTATACAAAAAATGCTTCAAATTGGATTAGGAAAGAAATTACACGATTCAAAATTTCGACATACATTAACCTTACA